ACATCTGGTGAAAATTTCATGTCATTAGCACCTCTAGTAATATATTTACTGAGAAAAATGGTGACGTGTTCAATACTTATTTTACCCGCTGTATGTGAATTTAAGACTTAAGGATTTTTAAGGATCCTCGGACACCCTGCTGTTTTCTCCTCCCTGTCGTGCTCCGGGTCAAATTACAAAGCTGAACTTCAGGCGTTATCCTAAATTAATGTTCAAGCTGAATGGAGCTCGCACCAGAGCAACCAGTCCAGGTCATTTACCCAAAATGCATTGCAGATTAAACATGGGAACATTTGTGTGACATTAATATTTTTTAAATGATAAAAACTGTGCAGTCTGATGTATGCTCTAGTTTTTAATAGTTGAAGGGAATGTCGACCAAATAAAGTCTATTGTTTCAGCTAGACAGACATCCTTTTAAGGAATTGTGGTAGGTGTAACCCAGCATGCACGAAAACACACAACAACATCACCCTTTCACCTTTGTCAACAGGCAACAAGACACAAAGTGGGTCAAAGCAAACTGTCTTACCTTGTCTACACCTGCACTGAGGATAAAATTTCCTTTCTTATTCCACTTGAGTGCAAATATTGGACCTTTATGCTGACCCAAAGTACTCGCCAGGTTACCTGAAAACAGAATGTTTGAATGCAACTTATAAAAGCAAGTAGAGATTTGTTTGTATAACAAATATAAAGCAGAGTCAGTGAGTGTTACCATCTTTTGTCCATATTCTAGCAAAGCCATCATATGACCCTGTTGCCAGCAAAGTGCCTTCACTCTGAAAGAAAAACAATTTTGTTTTAGACCAGCCTTTTTCAGTATGATCTGCATTTACTGCCCTAATTGTGCCTCATTTAAGATGCAGACATCACTGTCTGTGTATGTAAAGTTTAAGAAAAAGAGTTAGCAGAAAGGACTGTGTTACTCAGAGAAAACATAGTTTGTAGCTGAGCAGCAGAAAACGTCATTTTCTCATAAGACAAAGGAAAATACTGCGTCACTAGAAGAAATGCCTTTAGCAGAAGAAGTGGTTTCAGGCAGAAACAACACACACACACACACACACACACACACACACACACACACACACACACACACACACACAC